AAATTTTTAGTTTCCTTTCTCTAGCTTAGGTTTGCCTCAACCAAATGTTATGAAACTTATACACAATGCTTATTACCACAAAACACAGATCAAATTTGAATTTTGGTGGCGTCACTTTAACCCTTCTAGAGTTATGCCCATTTATAAATGGAAAAATTGCAAAATTTTTAGTTTCCGTTCTCTAACTTAAGTTTGCTTCAACCAAATGTTATGAAACTTATACACAATGCTTATTACCACAAAACACAGATCAAGTTTAAATTTTAGTGGTGTCACTTTAACAGTTCTAGAGTTCTGCCTCTTTATAAATGGAAAAATTGCAAAATTTTTATTTTCTTCTAAATATCAAGTTATTTTAAAATTGGAGTTATCTTCCTTTGTCCATGATTATAGTTGAATCAACTACAATCAATGCTTTATACAATGCAATGTTTAATTTTGACTTCCACTGATAGAACACAGATCAAGTTGAATTTGGGTAGTGTCACTTTAACCATTATTGAGTTATGCCCCTTTATAAATCGAAAGATTGCAAATTTTTTAGTTTCCATTCTGTAACTTAAGTTTGCCCCAACCAAACATTATGAAACCTATACAAAATATTCATTACCACAAAACTAAGATCAAGTTCAAATTTTTTGTTTCCGTTTTCTAACTTTAGTTTGCCTCAACCAAATGTTATGAAACTTATACACAATGCTTATTACTACATAATACAGATTGAGAACGAAATTTGGTGAGAACACGTTTACCATTCTTGAGTTATGTCCTTTTATTAACATAAACATTGCTGAATTTTTCGTTTCCGTTCTCTAACTTTAGTTTGTCTCAACCAAATGTTATAAAACTTATACACAACCGTTCTAGAGTTATGTGTGTTAATTACAAATAGAAAAATTGCTGAATTTTTAGTTTCTGTTCTCTACTTAAGTAACAGCCTCAACCAAATGTTATGAGACTTACACACAATGCTTATTACCACAAAACTCAGATCAAGTTCAAATTTGGGTAGCGTCACTTTTACCGTTTTTCAGTTATGTCCCTTTATAACTATATGATATGCAGTGGGGGCATCATCTGTGTCCACATGTGGACACTTTCCACATTTATTTAGCAGAATACTGTGCTAAAAGTGAATTATCAAGAAAGATTCATATAACTTTCACAGAGACTGTTGTTCTTAAAGTGACTTTAATGATCCATGTTCATATGCTAGTAAGGTAAAGGGTAACTGGGGTATAGAATTGTGGTCTCTTAAAGATTTTGGTCTTCTTCCCATTCCAAGCCATGTCTGATCTGAATCTGGATGTTAGATCCTATGCCTCCTGTTGAGTGAGTGCCACACTCTCTGCATGTTTAGAACCCACAATGCATCAACTCTTTAATGGATCTTTAAGTGGCATGCTGTTACAAATTAAAGACTAAATTTTTTGTCCCTTTCCATTATACCCTATATTTTTTCATTGGCATTCCAAATTTCCTAACTATCATCCCAGTAGACCCCTATTGTTTTAATTGTTAATTTGTCCCTGTCCTGAATATTCATGAAATATTTGCCACTGGACATTAATTAAACATCAGGGATAGGTAAAAGTTTTCTCCTCAAGTGATGACTGTACAAAGATGATAGGTCTAAAAATATGTTTTATATATTATAGATCCATGTGTTTCAAAATTGTTGCCAGTTTTGATATGAAAATTAACAACAGTGTAAAATTAATGTGGCAAAAACTACCTCTATAGGCAATAACACATAGATTGTGAACAAAATCATACTGTTTATATTTTGTATTAAAAATGAAGAAAAGAGGACTGGTTAGGAAGAGAATTGATGGTTCACAGACATTGGTTAAACTCAACCACATTAATATTCTTTATGTGCCTATCCCAAGTCTGTAATTCAGTGGTTTTCATATTTGTTTTTCATTAATTGTTTTGTATAAATGAGCCCTGGTTTTCTTGTTTCACATTTGATCATGTAGGAGCCTCTTATAGCTGACTATATGGTAAGGGTTATGCTCGTCCTTTTCACCCTTAGTTGCTTACATCAACATCATTTAGACTCTGATGGATAGTTGTCTCTTCCAGGGAATCATACCACATCTCTTTATTTTTATTCTGCTTTGCCAAGTATGGTGATATAAGATGAGCATCCCTCAGTCCGTCCGTCAGTCCGTCTGTCTGTCCAATGAATATTTTTCGTCCCATTTTCTCAGGAACTACATTACAAGGATTTCTGAAATTTGGTTTCAGGGTTTATATGAGTCAGCTATACCGTGTGATGCGTTTTCAGATTCATCACTCAACAACTTCCTGTTTACCAAACACTTACATCATTTTCCACATGACATCCAAGAAGTTGAAAATATATGAGTCAGCTTATATATATACGGTGCGATGCGTTTTCAGATTCATCACTCAACAACTTTATGTTTACCAAAATATTTGGGCAAGGGTATCATCAGTGAGCAGTAGCTCACAGTTTACTGCTCACAGTTTCACTTGTTGTTATATGTTTTTCAGCTTTGGATTGATCTGTCGAGTTAAACCCTTTTCAACTGTTTTTTATAGTTTGTTCTTATGTTGTGCTGTTAACACCACTGTCCCTGGTAAGGAGAGTTGAGCGCTCACAAACATGTTTAGCCCTGCCACATTCTTTATATGCCTGTCCCAAGTCAGGAGCCTGTAGTTCAGTGGTTCATGTCTGTCATATTTGTTTTTCATAAATTGTTTTGTTATAAATTAAGCTGTTAGTTTTCTCAATTAAATTGTTTTATTTTTTTGATGTCAGGGCCTTTTATAGCCGACTATACAGTATGGGTTTTTCACATTGTTGAAGGCCGTATGGTTGCCTATAATTGCTTACAACAACTTCATTTGAACTTTGGTGGATTGTGGTCTCATTGGCAATCATACCACATCTCCTTATCTTTATATATATACAACCCCTCTCAAGGTAATTTTGAAACAATGAAAAGTTATAATTTGGGAGGCAAAAATGTAATTTGTAAATAAGAGTTGGGAAAATATACTATGTTGTATATATATCCCTATTCTAGCTTAGACAGGATTCAAAATAAAGGATTCAAAATAAATTAAAGCGGTTGCCCGCTGGTCCATGGCCACTGAATTTTGGCGATTACTGTAAATTCATTTATTTTAGTGGGTATCAATGTTTGTGGATTGTGGAATAATTGTAAATTTTCGTGGATAGTTGGAAAAATTCTGCATACAAGCCTATTGCAAATCTCTATTTCATGGAGTATTTAAATTGCTGTTCACCTTTACACATGAAATCCACATAGATATAAGAATGAATCCACAGTTAGATAAGAATTTTTTTATCAATTTATTGTCAAATTTGGTTTTTTATTCAGTGAAGTTTAGAATATATTTGTAAAAACCTTGACATGGTTAACTATTAAACTGAAGTTAAAAATGAATTTTTACATTAGAATTATATAAATGGAAATATGGAGTTGCCTCCCTTACCTTGCAAAATACGTTTTCATTTAATGTTAGATCCTTTGATAGAATATCATTTTCCTTTGTGAAACAATAGAATAAATTGACTTACATTGTATGTCACAGGAGTTGAAACAACGCTGACACAGATGTGATTTTTGCATATTTAATGTACACAACAGCCCGTGTGGATTTTGCTTTTTCCACCGGCCCACCGTGGGCAGTCCACCCGTACCCACTCTAGCTATAATCTCTTTTTTGTAAAAATATTGATTACAAATGCTTATCTGCTTTTTTCAAGTGATTGTACTTGCAAGTCTTTAGATGAAACAAAAGAAATTGAATGCCCACTCCTACAGGTGGGCAGAGTGGACAAGGTACAAATTTTGCCCACCCGGTGCCCACTCCCATGGTGGGCCGGTGGACAAAGCAAAATCCACCCGAGCTGTAGTGTACCTTTACTATTGTTCAATAAAACTTGCATTCAAAACTTAATACTGTTAATTTAGAAATTAATGTGAGGTTTTAATTGATGCGAATAATGTGACTCCTTGAGTATCGCAATACTAAGAACTTGCATTCTAATATATGATTCATCTATGTGTATGAAGCTTTTCCTAAAATCGCAATAATCAAACTAGTATTTTTGTTAATTTTTCAAAAACTGCAATAATAAATGCACACAATAATTTCTGAATTTACAGTATTTTTTGTTTGTTTGATGTTTAGTACATAAACCAGGCAGCTTGTTTTTCTCTTTTAATTTTTTCACATTTTTTCATGTCAAAGCCTTTTATAGTCTGCTTTATCATGGTTTAGGTTTTGTTATTTGTTGAAGGCCTAACAACGCCCAATAAACGAAAGAGCATTAAAAATAATTATATATAAATGTTTATATAAGTTTGTCTCTTGAGAGATGACTTAAAAATCAAATCTATGTGATTAAGAACAACATATCTAACATTAAAATTTGGAAGAACTACAAATAAACTAATTTAACCCTGCCACATTCTGTATGTGCCTGTCCCAAGTCAGGAGCCTATAATTCAGTGGGTGTGTTACATATTCGTTTTTTTGTTCATTATTTTGTACATAAATTAGGCTGTTAGTTTTCTCGTTTGAATTGTTTTACATTTGTCGTTTCGGAGCCTTTTATAGCTGACTATGCGGTATGGGCTTTGCTCGTTGTTGAAGGCCATATGGTGACCTATAGTTGTTAATTTCTGTGTCATTTGGTCTCTTGTAGAGAGTTGTCTCATTGGCAATCATACCACATCTTCTTTTTTATAATTAACCAAGTTCGAGCTCAAAAGCAACAGGTCAGATACCCTACAGTTTGTAATACTTCTTGAAGAAGGTGAAAATTTCAAACTTTATCTTTTTATAAAGTTATAAATGTAGACAGTAAACATGCAAGGCTAAAGTTCGTGTAATTCTTCATCAAATTATACTTGACATAACATAACATAAAATGATTTTGTTTTGTCAGCTTTAAGTTAAAGATAATGCTACCTATATAACCATGACTGAGGCGTCACTAGAATTTCAGTCATTGTCATTAACATTGTTGTATTCAGTCTATCCAAAGCCAAGTATGGCAGAAGGTGCTCATGGAAATTTTTAAAGAATTTTGAATTATTCTGAAAAATTTTGAGCATATATATACAATATACTGTATAAGAGTCTATAGAAAACAACCAAAAAGCATAGTTAATAGGTACTGGATAGTCCGGAATGGAGGATACTGCATACAACAGGAAACAATTTTTAAAAGTGATATTGTGACCTAATGGGGATCCTCTACTGGAGCCCCCAAGATATGAGGTTTATAGTTGTATGATTTGATTTAACCTTAAAATAGAGGCAGAAGATAATTAGGAGACAATAAAAAATCATAAGTTGAAAAACAAAAAAAAAACAAAAATCTACAAACCCCTCAATAGAAAATTTTTAAAGAACCTCAAAAAAGTACTGTTGGAGAAACCACGCAAATTAAAAATCTTATTTCTTAAATTCTGTATAATTTTAAAAGAGTTCAGAATTGAAAATATAACATTACAAAATGTTGTGAATAAAACTAGGTCTGTTAGTGTCAATCAATTTATCACTTTAAATAATCCACAAGAGTTACTTCCCCTTATCAAGGATTTATCAACAACATGTGTTTACTGAACTGTACATAAGATCAAATGTTAGTTAAACTTTGACAACTCTTGTAGTGTATGTGGGAGACATTTGTCTTACTCTGGATAACATTTTCATCTAATTAACAACATTATATTTCCCTGTTTTGACAAGGTAAGTCCAATACAAATGTCCATTTCTATTTGTGTATTGGTCAAAATGTGTTTATGATGGTTCATTTCACCTGTAATTTTTTTCCAAGTTGTGTATTCAATGTGTAATACAACACAACACTATTACATAGTTGTTCATTTTGGTTCAGGGCCAAATCTTTATCAGTAGTTAGCAAAAACAAGTAAATATTGTACATATGTGCATTCTTTTTGATTTAAGACCCTTGCTTACATGAATAATTATATTTTTTTATCTTTCAAGGCCAATGGGGGTATTTAAAGACCTTTTGGAGTGTGTTGTTAATGTGATAATACTTGAATTGTCAAAGAAATTGAACAGCTGTATTTAAAATCCAATAATATTTATACATGGATTGATTTTTTTATTTGTAAGTTTTTTCCAAGGCTGTATTTAATTAAAAATCCATTTAAGAGATGATCAAATTTCAGGTCTAACTTTTTAAATTTCCCATTGTTTGTTTAACATATTGTAAATTGATTCTTTAAATGTGTTTTGAAGTACAAAGTGTAATATTACCTTGAGCTGTAGCATAATATATATATATAATACTTTATAGATGTCTAGTATTTCCAAATCATAGGAAATTCAAAGGACAAGGTATAATTTTAAGCATCAGGCAGATAATGAGATATAGCTGTGCTATGCTAGGCGGTGTTGCCATAGTAGTTAAAGGGAAAGTAAAGGTTCAGCCCCAGTTGGGGAGGAAATAAAGAATCAGATCTACTCTAACATTGAAAGGCTGATTTTTGAGGCACTATATAATATATATATATATATATATTACATGTATATTAACAGAGTATAACTTTAGGAATCACAGCCAGGGTTGAAAATTCTTGACCGCTGTTGCTAAGTTCCAGGTTCATGTAATTAAATTTTGAAACCAATAGACCTCATCTAACTATTTTTAGACTTTGGAAATTCAACTCAAACCTTGATGTCAAATTTGTCAGTTGTATGGACTTTTCAGATTTTAGGTTACAAATGTTAAGTGTTCATGCTGGATTGAAGCAGACATTTTTTTTGCAACACTGTGGTCACCTACATACAGGCTCTCAACAAGCTGTTACATGGATTTGTAAAAGAAGAAAAGAACATTGCATTCCCAACACCGACATCATATCTAGTGTTTCCATTCTGATCCAGGAAGGCTGTATATTTCTACTTCCTGTAAAGAATGAAGTCTGATTCATGTACTAAACCTTCAATTTTGAACTTTTATCTTTTTCTGAATATGTAATGTAACCTGAATACCGGTAGTTACAGGTGTTTGAAGGAATAAACATGTTTTGATGGTTTTTTTGCTTTGTTCAGGGTTGCTCTCTCTCAACGTTTTAAACCCCACATTTCATTTTATTTATAATCATCTCAGATGTAAGTCTGTTTTTCTCTGCAAGAAACTGTAGTATAATAGAGCCTGATGATTTAACCTATTTTTAAGTCACCTACAAAATAAAATTAATATTTCAAGACAATTTATGATTGTTCCATATTTATAATGGTATAATGGTATGAAATATACTGTGTCTTCTTTGACATGTCTTTGAATAAAAATGTAATGGTTTGTTAAGAATGAAAGAGGATGGCGATAGTAGGTGTGCTGCTTAATATAAAAATAAGAAGATATGGTATAATTGCCAATGAGACAATTCTCCAGAAAGGTGTCGTCTTTTCTTCATTGTCTGTGACATATAGTGAAAATTAAGTAAGAAGGATTGGAAAAACAATTGAAATATAAGATCTAAGAAATTATAATTTTATAGTCAAAGACTTTACAAGGATCCAGTTCAATTCAACTATTTTTCTTTGAGTCTGCAGATTAAGAATGATTTTAAGTGTGGGAAGTTAGAGACTAGGTAACCTCAGCGTCCATTGAAGGGAGTAATGAACTTTGTAGAAACTATGTGGAATTAGCTGTTTACAAAACTGTGAATTGTTTGAAATACTGAAGAATTGCTACGACAGGAATAGATTACCTTGGCTGTATTTGGTAGAAGCTTTCATAATTTTGAGTCCTCAATGCTCTTCAACTTTGTACTTTATTTGGCTTTTAACTTTTTGGATTCAAGCTCACTGATGAGTCTTTTGTAGATAAAACATGCGTCTGGTGTACAAAATTATTAGCCTGGTATCTTTGATTAGTTTTTTCCCCATATAGTGTGGATTTCATTATTATTCATATGAAACTAAAGTTTTGTGGATTATGTTGCCAATTCAATGATCCGTATAGGTGAATCAGGAATTTAAGTGTTCGGTGAATCAGGAGCTTAAGTGTTCGGCATAATACAAATTTCCTATATGTTTGTACCAAGATTTGTTTTAACCAGGAAATCAAGTATCAACAAAATCAATCTAAGAAAATTGGTATCCAGTATCCACGAAAATAAAGGAATCCACATTGGTATGGTGATTTCTTTAGCAAAGGTTTAGGGTAACATTGTTGGTCAATAATGATTCAATTATTACCTTCCTGAAGATATGTTGTCCAGGTAATAATCACCATATTAACCAGCCCTTAATGTTCAACCACAAAACAATAAAACATGTAATAGAGATTATTTTATGACTTGTACTTTCTCCTTTGAAGTGTTGTGTGTATTTCCCTCTACATCACTCTGTTTAAGAGTGACTGCCAGAGACCTTGAAGGGGAGTGTTTACAAATCAGGAAAATAAATACTTCAGTAACCCATTACCAGCTGTTCAGAAAAAAACATGGGATTTAATGCCTAGAATAGAAATTTAGTTACATATGATATTTGATTTTCACAGTGGAGTTATGGATTCAGGATATTGACTATTATCTGTAGGTATTCATAATTTCTATTTTTAGCAGCAGTTGGGGAAATAATGGATGTTTCACATTTAATGCATGTTAAACTGAAAAGCACACCTAACTGACACCTGTCAAGTTATCTCAGTTGTAAATTGCATGTTGCTATCATTTTGAAATAAATTTTGTCTAGTGTAATTATACAACTAGAAATTAACAGCTTTTTGTACCACTAGTACTACAGATGTATATTTAAAAAAAATTGTATTGCAAATTTATGACTTGTTATATTTGTGAAATTAATGATTTTTAGAACAGTTGTTTTTCTAACAAAAGAAAAAAAAAATATAATAAAAATCCGGTGATCTTTGTGAATCATAGGGAAGCAGTTGTGACGATTTTGTATTGTGATTTCAAGTGCGAATAAAAATGTTTGTGTGACATCTGTTGGAGATGAGGATAATCTAGATTTCAATGTAAATGTAGAGAAATGAATTTCACATGTTTGTCCTTGAATCAGACGAATGAAACGGAAGGATATATTTACTGCATAACATAGTATTTTTTTAAGTGGATTAATGACCTAAGTTAAATATTTGGTCATCACTTTTTCAAGTAGCTATATCCTGTATTGAAAGTTGACACTGTATTACTGGTCAAAGGTTTGTATAAATTAATTGGATACTTTGTGAAATTTTTTATTTTACTGTTATAAATTTTGATTTTACTGTCCCAAATTTTGATTTTATTTTACTGTCCCAAATTTTGATTTTACTGTTACAAATTTTCAATATCTAACAAATGTTACATCATGTTTAAAATAAGGAGATATGGTATAATGATTGCTACTGTGACACCTATCAAACAGAGACCAAAGGATGTGGATATAAGCAACTATTGGTCACCATAGAGGCTTCAACAATGAGGAAAATCCATACCGTATAGTCAGTTATAAAAGACCCCAGCAAAAATTAACAAAAGTTGAAACAGTTCAAACAATAAACCAACTGCCTCAGATTTTGCTTAAAAACAAAGAAAATCAAATATGATAGACAGCAACCAACAACAAATTACAGGCACCTGACTCGGAACAGGAATGTGACAGGGTTAAACATGTTTGTGAGAGCTCAACCCTTCCAAAACCTGGGACAGTTGTGTAAAAGCACAACTTAATAACAAACAGTAGATAGAATCAGTTTGATAGGGCTTCAGTCTCATCAGATCACACATTTGTAATACATTGAATTTTTAAGCAAATTAATAGAAGAGACATGAGTACAATTACAAGAGACATGAGTACAATTACAAGAGACATGAGTACAATTACTTATATCTCAAAAGCAAGGACACTGACCTATCATTTTAATTCTGCTTTTCAAGTTCAGAGTGAGTGAGTTATTTATATACTGTCAATTTATAAAAGTCTTTTAAAAAGCTTGTTATTTTGAAACAGAGTAGCGAACATCCTTAAATTAATCATTAATTTGTGCAGGATAGAAATATCCATTGAAGTTTTTAAAAGCTTTTCTCAAACAAAAAAAGATACCAACAATATTACTGAAGCAAGTCAATTCCAAATTTATTCTTGAATATCCAATTTACCAAGTCTGAGCATTACAATGGTGTATTGCTGTATATCATATTTAATTTTAGTTCATTGTTTTGTACATAAATCAGGCTGTATTATTCTCGTTTGAATTGTTTTACATTTTTCATTTCGGAGCCTTTTATAGCTTACCTGTACTATGGACTATGAGGTATGGGTTTTGCTCATTGTTGAATGCTGCACAGTGTGGCCTCTAGTTGTTAACTTCTATGTCATTTTGTCTCTGGTGGAGAGTTGTCTCATTGGCAACCATACCACATCTTTTTATTTTTATACATCCCTTGACCGTAGGCTAGACTTTTATGAGCATTGCATTGTGATCTTTTCAGTTAGAGATTGAAGATTATTTTAAACATTTCATGTTTTAAGCAATTTTTATATAAGACTTCAATAATAAGAGATATTTAAGGTATTTTTTTGCGAACACCGTATATTTTTAGTTCAAATTATAAAGAAAAACTTCCTTGTTTAACTGAATGAACTTTTTTTTCTGGAAAATTACAAAATTTCAAATCATTAACCGCCAATGCGGCTTATATTTCTATGAATACTGTTTCTTTATTAGGATTAAAGTTTCTGAAAATGAGTCAAATTGAATTCTG